GGATTAAGAAAAAAATATGTTTTTATTTATTCTGCCCTTCATGGCGACAAAATGGCGGCTAAAGTGATTGTCCGGAAAAAACTGGTTGACACGATATCTCTGCTTCAAAATGTCGGAAACAAAAAATCCAAAGAATTTCTTAAAATATATGTCAGTGGCTATGGCATGAATCACAAAAAATGAATTTGAAAAAAAATTAGAAAATGGCGGCGATTTGAAATTTTTTTACCCCTTTTTCACCTCTAAAACGGTAAAAAAATGGGGTTAAAAATGAATGTAGAATGTTGGTTGTGGTTCATGCCATAGCCACTGACATATTTTAAGAAATTCTTCGGATTTTTGTTTCCGACATTTTGAAGCAGAGATATCGTGTCAACCAGTTATTTCCGGACAATCACTTCAGCCTCCATTTTGTCGCCATAAAGGGCAGAATAAATAAAAAAAATATTTTTTTCTTAATCCTCAATATGTGTGAAAAGAGCCCAGTGTTTCGATACATTTTACTATGAAAAAATAAATGTTGAAGAAACACGCGAAAGTGGTGTACGGTCCCCTAAATATCTCCTTTAAGGCCTATATTATGTTGTCCAAATCGCATGAAAATTCCGATCAATGATTTTAATAATTCCGGTCCTTTGAGAAGCTTATCGATTAGACTTACTCCCCCCGTTTTTGAAGCCGCATCAAAAACTAATCTAACCTTTTTATCCCTTCTTGGGCTTAAGACACCAATGTGCGGTATATAACATATCCTCTCCCCGAAATCTGTGTTTATTAATCGTTCTGCGTAACCGGCATCAATAAATCGATGCATTTCACTATAGTATAAATTAGCGTAGGCGGTGTCTCGATCTAGACTTTTTTCGAGAGCATTAAATCTATTAAGAGCGGTTTGCTTGCTATTGGAATTCGCGATACCCTCGTCACGACTCCAAAGTAACCCAGTTTGCCAACTTTTTCCGTTTTTAATTGTAGTTTCCTGCAGTATTTTATTCGCATTTTCTACGGTTATGTTGTTATCAAAAGGTAACGCAAGAAATATCATTTTCGCTAGATCAGCGAAAATGGATTATCGATGGAGCCAAATCAGTGAAACTTATAGCTATTATAGTGATTGTTATCTCTACTTTAGAAGAACTTTTTTTAGCGTGTATATAATATATATATATATATATATATATATATAATTTAATATTTCATAAATAATTTTACGTTGGCGGGGGTCGGTTCTGGGTTGGGTACCTTTTAGTACTAACTAGAAAGTCAATTTGACTCCCTTTCTACATTAAAAAGCCCAAGTACACGAGCAGAGACGGCCTCTATAGTGTTTTCCCTTCTGAGGCACATAAATAAAAACGGTCTTTTTTAATGGGTTTTTTGTGATTTTCAACATGAAGATGACCTAGTCGCCAAATTTCTTTATCATTTTCGTAATCACTTAAATATGTTTGACTGTATAGCAAAGATATTTTAAGTTTGATTTAAACAAAATTTTTTTGAACCAAATAATTCGTTTTCTCAGTAAATGTTTATTTTGGTTCATTTTGCATTGATTTCGTATAGTTATAACTGTTATAAGTAAAGTATTCAACTAATTATTCGTAAATATTAAATAAATAAGTAAGAAAATATTCATCAATTAAAGATAAATATTAAAGATTTAAAAATATTGTAATAAAATCTTTAATTTATTTACATAATATAAATAAATTGTTAAAATATTAAAAAATATTTGTTTCAAAATTATTAAATTCACTTTAGGGGAGTGTAAGGTATGGTGGCGGACACTTTGTTTTTTGCGTCTCTCTCTAAAAAAACAATATTTTTCAAAATTTCAAAAGCAAGCAGTTGCTGACATCTATTAAGCATATTTCTGTCAGAAGCGGCTGTTAAAATTTAAATGCAGTGAAATTTTACAGCTCTTAGCGCAAAACACTGATTTTTTTTATTTTTGAAAGTTGTAAGGTATGGTGGCGGATTTGGTGTATTCAACTAAAATATTATGTAGATGTTAAAATCATTTATTAAAACTACTAGAAATGATGAAAAATAACAAAAAGAGAAAAAACTGATGATTTTACATTATAGAAAAAAAGGTTTCACTTCAGTTATGGTTACAATTTGGACATGTGAAGTAGCTGCTGACTGTTTTAACGCAACTAGAATAGGAGAAGACCGCAAGTGTTACATATTCGAGAATTGTTGCGGTGGAGCACAAGAGGTATTGGGTCAGAATTCGTCAAATTTTCACAAAAAATAAAAAGTTTTTTTTTTAAATCGAAATGTTGAAAAAACATTTCTATTTGACCTTAAGAATGTGTCCACCAAAAAACAGAAAAAACAATTATTTTTTATAAAAGTTATTGCAAAATTAATTTTTTTGTAACTTTTTAAACAAAATTTGATTTCTCCTAAATAAATGAACCGATTTAAATGAACCAAACGGGAATATAAAGGGGATAAAATATACTTTCGTTCAGAATTAGAAAATTTTTAAAAAGTTTATTTTTTAATAATTATTTCATACATTTTTTATAAACAATTAATTTTTTTTAATGTTCTACGCCTTTTAAAAATTTGAAAAAAAATATTAATTTACACTTAAAACTATAAGAAACAAAATCCCGAAATCCGTTAAAAAAATTTTAGAGCGACAATTATTTTAAAAGTTATAATGGAAATTATATTGGCGCGGCGTAGTGCATCAACGCTGAAATTAGTTTTTGATCATTTTTATGGTTATATAATTAAATAAAAATGTTAATTTGACAGGGTTTTGTTCATTTCGTAGTTAAAAATAATGTTTTTATTCTAAAAATCATCAAAATCGCATCTCCGTTCAATATAATTTCCCTTATAACTTGTAAAATAATTGTCGCTCCAAAATTTTCTCAACGGATTTTGATTTCTTATAGTTTTAAGTGTATGTTAATATTTTTTTAACATTTTTAAAAGGCGTAAAACATTAAAAAAAATTAATTGTTTATAAAAAATTTATTAAATAATTATAAAAAAATAAACTTTTTAAAAATTTTCTAATCCTGAACGAAAGTATATTTTATCCTCTTTATATTCCCACTTGGTTCATTTAAATCGGTTCATTCATTTAGGAGAAATCAAATTATGTTTAAAAAGTTGCAAAAAAATTAATTTTGCAATAACTTTTATAAAAAATAATTTTTTGTTTCTTTTTTTTGGTGGACACAATCTTAAGGCCAAATAGAAATGTTTTTTCAACATTTCGATTTAAAAAAAATACTTTTTATTTTATGTGAAAATTTCACGAATTCTAACCCTATTAGTACACAAAAAATTCAAAGACTCGTGCAAAAAATGATCTGCCACTGTACGTTACAAAAATTATTTTTTGGCCGATTTTAAGAGATGGACTTAAATCTCACGTGGAATTGCCCATATATATGTTTTTTTCGAAAAAAGAATCAGCTACGATTTTCGGAAATGAAAATTTGGAATCTTGGGACGATTCCAGATAAAACTGCGTTAGCACAATTTTGACTCATTTCAGGTAAACCTAAAAGTGCTTGAAGACCACCGTGACAAGCTATTGATGAAAATATGTTGGTGTTACTTTCATACAGCGCGAATTGAGAAAAATGTAAAATACAAAAAACTGTTGTCCAAGGTCAAAACAATACGTTCCATACATTTACCTGACTCAATTTTCAAAAAATCTTCACTCTAGCACTATTAACACACATATCTAATAAAACTTTTTATTTTTTTTTCACTACTTCCCACAAAGCACAGATATTTTCTGCAAGTTTGCTGCAAGTTTTTCATATGCAAATTTCGCAAGTTTGCATTGCAAGTTTGCAGCAAACTTGCATAAATACAAAAATGTCACCCACTTGGCAAGTTTGCACTGCAAGTTTGCAGCAAACTTGCGCCAAATAGCAAAAACTTAAATGTATGCGCAGTAGTTTACTATGACATCTAGAGCTGCGCACTATATTTTAGTCACCTTCCCTACAGGGAAGGCATCGTTCATCAAAATATATGCAATTTGAAAAAAAAAATTTTTTTTAATTTTTTAGGTATTTTAGAAAGTTTGCTGCAAATTTTCCTCAAGTTTTCATTGCAAACTTGCCAAGAGGGTGACATTTTTATTTCTATGGAAGTTTGCTGCAAACTTTTTTTTTATTCAAAATCACTTAGAGTACAAAGCACGCGTTTGGTCATTAATACTACTGCATATAAAATGTCATTACGATAAAAGACATCGACCATAGTGATAAGGCGCTTCAGATGTGACGTTACATGCCAGATTTGACAAGTCCGCCATCATACCTTACACGCCACGATACCTTACATTCCCCTATATAAAAATTTGATGTTTTCTAGCGGTACTGTATATCAGCATTGTTATGTTCAGATTCCCAACGAGCGAATAGCGTAGTGGTTAACGTATTAGACTTCGGCGCGTAGATTAAGATAGGCCTGGGGTTCAAATCCCCCCGCGAGCGTTAGGAATTTTAATGTGTATAAAAATGTTTTAAGTCTGTAGAAAATGCTTCAAATGATTTATAAAAAAATATTAATTAACATGCACCTTGCATAGTTAATTAAACATTTTTTTATTTTAATTTTCAATAGAGAATATAATTTTTTTCGATATTTGTAAATTCTCATTAAAAACATCGTAGAAACATCTTAGGAACCTTGTCATCTTCGAACCCATTATGTGTCAAATTAAATATATTAAAATTTTTTGAGCCTCATAAATACCTTGTAAAAACATCGTAGAAACATTTTAAAGAAATATTTTAAAACCTATAGAAACCTCATAAAAAATTTAACAAATCCCTTCTACAATCCCTCATTGAAACTATTAGAAACCTAAGTCTAACAGGTTCCTATAGTTTTTTACGGTGTATTTTTAGCAGGGTACCTAATCGAAAACAGTATAAAAGTTAAAGAAACGATAAAGAAAAAAGCTAACGTCAGCTAATATCTAATCTTTTCGCAATGTTTATTTGCAGATTTGGAAGATTTCGGTTCACTAAGTAGTAAAACAGTCACGGAAGTTCTCATGCTTGAAATAAAAATGTCTCCAGAGGCCAAAACTTTTCTTGTTAGCGGATATCCGAGAAATATGCGCGACGTTGTCGAATACTCGGAAAAAGTAAGTTTTCTCATTTTTTTAAATTAAATTTTTGAAAACTTAATTTTTTTTATATTTAAATGATGCGTTCTTATAATAATAATTATAATATTACAGGCCTCGAATCGACTTCAAGGCGTAAAAAGAGATGCTATAGAAGAAGTTTACACCGAGAGGCATAATGTTTGCCTGCAGCTGTGTAGTGAAAGACTTTGCCTTGACCACGTGTTTGCGCAGGTGCGAGTATATTCTCGTCGAGAAATATCCGCTTATACTCGCACGAGTATAAATTTAATGCCTTTCGGTGTAAACTCCTTCTTAGTCGATTAAAAATAGGAAAAAACACGAAATAGTATATTAAGCAACAACCCATTTCTTTACGGTGATTTTTGTGACACAAGCGAAGGTCGAGGGCGCCGTAGGCGTATAAAAATGGCGACCATTTTCTCCCATGGGCAAAAATGGCCGTCATTTTCATACAAGTCGAACAAGTGAATGACTTTTACTCCCTGTCGTCAGCTGTCAGAAAGCGACATTTTTGTGCATGTGGGATATAAAAGTCATTATTTTATTTAATTCAGTGTTGTCACAAAAATTTTCTTTTGTATTCCCCTGACCTTTCACTGATTTATAACTTGAATTAGGGAGCGTTCACAAATTACGTAACGCTAATTTTTGGAAATTTTGACCCCCCCTCCCCCATCCCTTGCGAAATCGTTTTACCAAATGTCTCCCCACGTGGGTATACATTTGGGATACATTTGGGATACATTTGGGAGACATTTGGTAAATTGCTTTATAATTCTGTTAAAAGACAGAATTTGATGAAAAAAACGATTGGAAATTGAAAAGGAACATTTGGAGAATGAAATTATGCAAATATTTTTATAAAGAAAGCTTTGAATAATTAATAATTAACTGAAATGTGCAAAAATGTCATTGTGATTTTATAGCAAGGTTATTTTTCATAATTACTTATGAAAACGGTGTAAATAAAGGAAAAAATAGTGTATATTGTTAAAAGAACGTAAAAATATTAATTACATCTATTAATAAGACTAATTAAACAATAAAACTTGTAATTTAATTAAATGCAAATGGTAAAGTGATATTAAAGTACTATCTACTTTACCAACAACTTATTCTATTTCAGCATTAGAAAGACACTAGAAACAATCAAAAGTCCCTAACGGCAGATATCCCCGCGCGGCGTTTGGTTTGACGCAATATTCTACAGGGTGTTCTTTTTTTAATGATGGCAGAGAAATGCTTCTTTTATATTAAAGTAACTTACGGTTATTATTTCTAATTGTAAAATAATTACCGTTTAAATTTTTTAATTATAGTCACCATCAATATTTTCTAAAAATTAAATATTCTCACCCTTTTTCCAGGGCACGTTCCGAATAGAAAAATTGCATTTAGGAAAAAGGAGGAATTTTTGGCCAAAAGTCTCTATCCTTTTTCTCTTTAAAAGTTAAAATAAACATTATATTTTTTAAAAATGATAAATATTCTTAGAATTTTTCTCAATGGAGCAACGAATAAAAACATTGCGCTTTTTGTAAATAGGAGGAGGAAATATTTAATTTTTAAAAAATAAAACATAATCCCAACCCCCCCAAAAAAAATTGATGCTTTTAGACGAATAAAAATAAGAAACAAACTCCTCCTATTTTCAAAATCAATTTTTCTATTTGTTGGTTAATTTAATCAAACTGGAGAAAATACTTAATATATGAAAAATAAAACATTATAACCTCAACCCCCAAAGAAAAAATGGTTGCTTCACACCAATGAAAATAATAAACAAACTCCTCCTATTTTCAAAATCAATGTATCTATTTGTTGGTTAAGTTAAACAAAATGGAGAAAATACTTAATATTATATGAAAAATAAAACATATAACCTCAACCCCCAAAGAAAAAATGGTTGCTTCACACCAATCAAAATAATAAACAAACTCCTCCTATTTTCAAAATCAATTTTTCTATTTGTTGGTTAAGTTAAACAAAATGGACAAAATACTTAATATTATATGAAAAATAAAATATATAACCTCAACCCCTTAAAGAAAAAATGGTTGCTTTAGACCAATCAAAATAATAAACAAACTCCTCCTATTTTCAAAATCAATTTTTCTATTTGTTGATTAAGTTATACAAAATGAAGAAAAGAATAATATTTTTAAAATAAAACATATAATCCCAACCCCCTAAGAAAAATGGATGTTTTAGACCAATCAAAATAATAATCAAACTCCTCCTACATAAAGAAAGAAAATTTTCTATTTGTCGCTTTAGTTAAACAAAATATGAAGCGAATATATTAAATTTAAGCTCAACCCGTTACAAAAAATATACTTCTAGCTAATAAAAATAAGATTCAAACTCCTCCTACTTAAAATTAAAGTTTACTATGAACTATACAAAAATAGATTGAATCTCCTCCTATTTTTTCGGAAAGGGTTGTGGTTAAATTTCATATTTTTTTAAAATTTAATATTTTCTCCATTTTGTTCTATTTGAACACACGAAGGAAAAATATCTTTCATTCAGAAGGAGGAGTTTAAGTTTTAATTTAATTGGTTTAAAACATCCATTTTTTCTTTTGGGGGTTGGAAAAATATGTTTTATTTTTTAAATATTAATTTTTTCTGCATTTTGCGTTTAACTTAATCAAAAAATAGAAAAATTGATTTTGAAAATAGGAGGAGTTTGGTTGTTATTTTGATTGGTTTAAATCATCTATTTTTTCTTAGGGGGTTGGGTTTATATGTTTTATTTTTTAAATATTAATTAGATTCTCCATTTTGTTTAACTCAACCAATAAATAAAACATTGCATTTTGAAAATAGGAGGAGTTTATTTTTATTGGCCAGAAGTTTTTTTTTCTTAATGGGTTAAGACTAAATGTAACTTTCTAAAAATTAAATATTCACTCCCTTTTTGTATTGTTAAACCAATCAATAAAAAATTTGTTTTCTTTAAGAAGGAGGAGTTTGAATCTTATTTTTATTAGCTAGAAGTATATTTTTTGTAAAGGGTTGAGCTTAAATTTAATATATTCGCTTCATATTTTGTTTAACTAAAGCGACAAATAGAAAATTTTCTTTCTTTATGTAGGAGGAGTTTGATTATTATTTTGATTGGTCTAAAACATCCATTTTTTCTTAGGGGGTTGGGATTATATGTTTTATTTTAAAAATATTATTCTTTTCTTCATTTTGTATAACTTAACCAACAAATAGAAAAATTGATTTTGAAAATAGGAGGAGTTTGTTTATTATTTTGATTGGTGTGAAGCAACCATTTTTTCTTTGGGGGTTGAGGTTATATGTTTTATTTTTCATATAATATTAAGTATTTTCTCCATTTTGTTTAACTTAACCAACAAATAGATAAATTGATTTTGAAAATAGGAGGAGTTTGTTTATTATTTTCATTGGTGTGAAGCAACCATTTTTTCTTTGGGGGTTGAGGTTATAATGTTTTATTTTTCATATATTAAGTATTTTCTCCATTTTGATTAAATTAACCAACAAATAGAAAAATTGATTTTGAAAATAGGAGGAGTTTGTTTCTTATTTTTATTCGTCTAAAAGCATCAATTTTTTTTTGGGGGGTTGGGATTATGTTTTATTTTTTAAAAATTAAATATTTCCTCCTCCTATTTACAAAAAGCGCAATGTTTTTATTCGTTGCTCCATTGAGAAAAATTCTAAGAATATTTATCATTTTTAAAAAATATAATGTTTATTTTTACTTTTAAAGAGAAAAAGGATAGAGACTTTTGGCCAAAAATTCCTCCTTTTTCCTAAATGCAATTTTTCTATTCGGAACATGCCCTGGAAAAAGGGTGAGAATATTTAATTTTTAGAAAATATTGATGGTGACTATAATTAAAAAATTTAAACGGTAATTATTTTACAATTAGAAATAATAACCGTAAGTTACTTTAATATAAAAGAAGCATTTCTCTGCCATCATTAAAAAAAGAACACCCTGTAGAATATTGCGTCAAACCAAACGCCGCGCGGGGATATCTGCCGTTAGGGATTTTTGATTGTTTCTAGTGTCTTTCTAATGCTGAAATAGAATAAGTTGTTGGTACAGTAGATATTACTTTAATATCACTTTACCATTTGCATTTAATTAAATTACAAGTTTTATTGTTTAATTAGTCTTATTAATAGATGTATTTAAATTTTCAGAAATATGTTATTGAAAATAATGAAAATAATTAAACTTTAAAAAATTCTATAAGAATTATTTTTTTAAAAATATTTTTATATAATATTTAGTAGCTCATTTCAACTAATTTTCAATTATAAATTGTGTAGGTAGACTGAAAGATTTTTTATTAAATTGTTTACAAAAATTTGCTTGCAATTAAAATTCTTCAAAAGTAGATTTTCAAAAATTGTAATAAAAAAGTTTATGAAAAAATCATTGATTTGCAATTAAATTTTACAGAATTCCAATTATTCAAAAACTTTTTACTTGTATATTTTGAAAATTTAATTAGAAAAATTATTTAAAATTTTTCACACTATAAAAATCGAAATAAGTTGCATTTTATACTAAAAAATGTAGTATTTTGTTGCAATATTTGGAAGAAAAGTCTAAAAAATCACAAATATAATTATTATAATTATGAAATCGCAATTAGCGACAAAGAGGGAAGAGAGAGAAGAAGGGGATAAAAGAAAGGGAGTAGAGAAAATTTGAGGAAAAGGGACTCTCGAGAGGACTACCGGTGCGTCCGGTTTATTTTGACTCGTATGAATTCTCTAATCTCTAATCAAAACGACGTGTTAAGACAAAACTTTTCATTATAAAAACGTCCAATTTGATCAATTTTTGACCGAGTTATAAGCATTTAATAAAAAAATTTACGTAAAAAGCGTCATTTTTCAAAAATCTGTATTTCCTGAACCGCTTTTTGAAAAAATTTGAAAAAAATCAAGGTAGCTTATTTAAAAGAGTACTAAAAGAAAAAAAATGTTTAAAAAAAATTT